TTTAAATGGCTTTACGACTGCCTACAATTTTTCATTTCCTTTTCACATTATCTCTTCTATGTAACCCTCCGACTCCCAACCCATCACTTCCATTTTAAGTTCCTGCCGATGGCTTGCTAAGTGTGTGATGTCAGTCAGTGGTCTCCTTAGCGTAAATCAAATACGTTCACATTTCCTGCTGCATATTTAAAGTGTAATAGGTTCAATGTTCAAGGTTTACCGCCAGAGCTGTCTGATGTTTAATCTTTCTAGCCTACCCTCTGTTTTTCAGTATGGAGTGAAGGCAGGTGTAGAAAGTTTACACTGGGCGGTTAGAAATGCTTTTGGTGACACGCGTGCCATGTCCCTAAATCATATGGAAGCAATTACTTAACATTAGTGCTAAATGTTGTCAATCTGCACATCTGATTTCAGAGTAACGACCACATGTCTTGCTTACAGCATTTGATCATGTCTGTTGATGACATCCTGATCCGTGACGTTCATAGATGAAATGATGCCACGGAGCAAGGTACTTGAAAGAGCCAACTTCATTTCACTAATCAAACTGAAAAGCACACAATAAATAATTTTTTTCTTTGTCAAATGTTCCCGAAATTTTCAAAACATAAGAAAGAGCTTTTATTAGTTTTCTGATAGAATTAATTATCAAGCCAAATGAGTTTTAACTAGTTCATTCTTAACTTCTGTTTTCATGAAATCTCCACATGCTTGAAAACAAAAGAACTATCTCATTAGTATAACTGACATTTTCAAAATTACTAATAAGTAAGAGAATAAAATGATTGAAAATTGAACTTGATATTTTGTTTAAATCAATAATGTTTTGCAAAGCCAACTCTTGCCAAAATTGTTGTTTTCATCTTGAATAAACAAATTTAAATGTAGAAAAAAAGAAACTTTCATCCATCTTATAGAAAGAATCATCCTTTTAATACATTGTTTCGTAGAAAATATCATTTTGGCTTTCATTTAGCACAAGTTTGTTTATCTAAATCAGTCTCTTCAATAATAAATGCCACTAAGAAATCGTTCCACTTAAGGTCGAATACAAAAGGTTATGATAAGGTGAATTAAAACAGTTAGAAGTAAAGTTTCACTTTTGGTGTGAAGTTATCTCTGGAAGTTTACATTTAATGGTCGTTTGTTGTCTGTAAAGATTGGCATAAACGCTAAATATCCATCAGTTTTTCATCCAAGAAACCTGCGCTTTTCATTTAAAAATCAGTAAACATCTTTATTTATCTCGCAAGGTTGTAAGTAACACTGAATTTAGCTATATGATAAGTTGTGACCAGCGAAACTCAGGTGGATGCACCCGAATCACTATAACATAACGTTGATATTGGAAGGAACACATGGGCGACCATTCAAGAAGTTCATGAGCCAGTTGAAACCAATTGGTCCGGTTCATTAAGAACAAACAACAGGAAATTCAAAAGTTTCAGTGAAATAACACCACTTTCATTACTTTGAATATGCTCTGAACATCGAAAAGGGAATTCTGATTTCTCAGTGTATAGATTGGTTGATGGTAACTCTCAACGTATATTACACAGTTTATACAGATTAAAGAGTCACTAGATGTTGATATATAAACATCCAATTCCTCTGAACGCCTTTTGTATTACGTAACTCCACCAAAAACTTACTAATTGTACTTTCGTTTGACAAAAATAACCAAATATATTTGCGATTGTACAGCTGTGAAAATGAATTCGCCGAAAGGAGACTCTTCGTTGAATTACTGGTCTTCTCTCTATTAATGTTCGAATGGGGATTTTTCATGAATTGTATATGCTGCAACAGTTTTTCTCCTTCTACAAATAAATAAATAAAATAGTAGAAACAAGTGAACTAAACAAATCGAATTTAATGGAAAAGTAATATTAATATATGTAATAATAATACTGGTAATAAGTTACGGATTCTTAAGTAGGGTTTACAAGTCATTTCTGACACTTTTCCTATCATGCAACACCTATGCCAAAATACGGTATAGTTGTATTTTTATAGTTTGCTGTATGAGCATAAATTCTTGTGAAATTTCTTCAGGTTTTACCAGGAAGAGATACAGGGAGAACATTGCGAATAAACGGCTGGTTCAGTATAAGATGACTAGCCAGTCGCTTGCAAGAATTAAAATATCTATCAACACTGGTGTCAGTTAGTTGGATCAAAGGCATACCGCTAACCCTATTTGCAGCCTTAAAATTCCTACGTGACGTAACATAGTCGTCTTTGAGAAGCTGATAGGAAGAATAAGAGGAATGATAGGAAAGAATGGGTAGAATGCAAGAATTAATAAATTGTGAGAGATGAGGTTGAGTTATGCCAGAAAGTCTCAAATTGCCCATGAAATAAGTCATATGGAACATTTTTTAGGAATCAAAAACGTAAAGGACAATCGGCAAACACTGGAAGAGAAACAGACATCAATATAGGTAATATTTGATTTTTCTCCTGCCACAGTACCGTCGATATTACAAGATTTAAGCGATTGAATCAGTCCATGCAAGTCTTGTTGACTCCTGAAAACTAAAAGTAACAGTCTTTTCTCATCACACTTATTATTTTCTCTCTGGTTGCTTGGATGACACATTATCTTTTGTAAAATAATTCCGCTCTAAATAGTCTAAGGACTCTACTAGTCGGTGATAAGATATTTTAGGTGGATAGAAATATCATTCATTGAACTTGAAATGAATGGCAGAAAGATGCCTCATCAGCCTCTTTTTGCTGAGTAAATTGTTCACAAAGTAGATCAAATGTCTCATCATGTATATTTTGGAAGTTAAATGAACTTCGAGGTTTGCAATCCAGTGAAACAACTATTGAGATAACACTTCAGGGGGGGGGGGAGAAATCTTGACATTTGTGACTTTTCTAACGTCTTCTAAGAAATAGTGTAAAGATGGTGTTCTGCTGATTAGTAATTATTGTCGGGTACCCTATAAGATTCTCTTTTGAATTTCAATCTCAGATTATTTCCATTTTGTATTCCACTGATGAGTACACTTATCAAGGCGAACAGGTCACCTCTTTGTTTGTTATAGTGAAATTCATAATTTTGATGAGATTACTTATTAGATAGTATCACTGACCTAATGATCCTTTAGAATGATGATGTCATTCATATTTTTTTATTTCCTTCACGTTCCCAGTGGAACATAGGGCTTCAAGCTAGTGGCTTGAAGTTTCTGTAGCAGTGTTTATTTTTACAGGATGGGGTTGCCAGCCTCATGCCCAACCTTCCCTCTTTCCCAGTCTTATTACTGGCTAAGTAAGGTAAAGGAGTGCGTCGGCTGGGGATCGAACCCCGGACCATGTGCATGGTCGGCGAGCGTCCTAACCGCTGTGCCACCGACGCGTCATTCATGTGATAGATTCATATTTTCGATTTTATCATAGTTACTGCCATCAGTTTGTTGTTTTGGCCTTACAACTTGAAAACCACCTCATTGTTTCACATGTTCAGCGTGAACCCTTATATTCTCATTGGTTAACCTGTAATATTTATTGCTTAAAATCTCACACTAGAACAGTAGAACAGTTTAACATGTTTTCACAGAATAATCACTTTTTAAAGCCTTCAGTTATCATCTTTTACATCGTCCTCATTTTAATCACATCTAGATTCACTTATCTAGGGAGCATTGCCTCAACTACAGAAGGAACGGACGAGGATGTCAAATCGAGCGAGAATCGGGAAGGCGAGAAACACATTCATCAACCTGAAACCAATCTGGAAATCTTCGTCACTCAACTCACCATCAACAACAAAATTCGGATTTTCAATACAAACGTCAAGTCAGTCAGTTCTTCTATACGGATCAGAAACTTGGCCAGTGTGTCACAAAGAATATTTCCAACAGGTAGGTTGCAGACCTTTATCAACAACTGTCTTCGCTCTATACTGAAGATCAGATGGCCGGAAAGAATCACAAACAAGAAGCTATGGGAACAAACAAAACAAGAACCAGTCGCCCAACAAATATGCAGGATAAAGTGGAGATGGATTGGACACTCGCTGAGCTGAGGAGGCCGCTGGGTGACATCGCGCGTCAGGCCATTGCTCGAGTGGAACCCGAAAGGGAAGCGGCGAGTGGGACGTCGGTGCAAGGGTGACATGGAGGAGATCGTGTGAAGAAGAGTTGAAATAGTATGGACTAACATGGATGCAGGTGAAAAGTACAGTAGAGGACAGAAGCAAGTGGAGACGTGCAGTTGAAGCCCTATGTTCCGCTAGGAACCCAAGGGAACAATAATAATAATAATAGATGCTGATTTCTTCCTTTTAACTGACAGAGTAAATTTTCAGATGTTTGAAAATATATTACAATATATATTTTTGAAATAAAATTAAAATTAAGATCAGTTACACAAAGCATTGCATATTGTAGAAATTTACATATCACAGTTTTTTTTCAGTCATTGAAGGAAATTATTTGACACAACATTATAACTGGGTGTTATCAACCATAGTGCACATAGTGCTAATTCGCAAGAAAAACGATCAATAAAATCGCCTACATAGGCATTGTTACACTATTTTATTCTTCCCACTTCTTTGTGTGACCATGTTTGCACAAGGATATACGAATATATATTCATTCCGTTCCTATAGTTCAATAGATTTTCATTAGATTGGTGTGTACATATACATACACAATACATATCGTTGAATAGATTGTAACTGCATCTTTGAATTTTCATCTAACCACATGACATACGCGGCACACAAATTGTCTATATCTCTAAACCTTACTGCTAGACTGTTAGTTAACTGAAAATTCTGAAAAGTCTGCCTTCTAAATGCACACGGGTGTACAGGCATGCATGCACACATCTAAATAAATCCTACGCAAAAATAAATCCCTTTTTAGTAGGGCAGAATCACCTAGATGAAGTATTAGACACGACGAATAAATTTCATTTCTCAGATATATATATATATATATGTACATCATAAGTGCTACTTTTTGTTAACCGTCATATAGTTGTGCAAAGTTCTTGTCTTTCGTTTCACCGATAAACTTAAATCAAGTGAGTCTGATAACGTCATTTTATAAGTATTACATAATAGAGTATTTGTACTTTAATTGCATAATCTAAGCACTATTGACATCATTCTTTTATCAGTACAGGTATTATTTAATGTCATTTTGTTTATCTTAATCTGAAAAGCTGTTTTTTATGCCATGTGAATGAAATAAAGCGATTAAATGAAGTGGAATTATTGCATATATATAGCTGACTGTTTTGTTGAAGTGTTTTCTCTCGGAATCAAGGATGCTAAGTGAAGCTCTTTTGCTTATCGTGTGTTTTAGAAGTGCAAAAAGTGTTTAATTCATATAAAAACTGTATATCATTAAATGATGGTGAGGCAACTGAAGCAAAATAACTAGGACAAGAAATGATTTTTGTAGTAATGAAGATTTCTAGCCCAGATGGATATTTTATTGATGTGCTTCTGTCCTGTGGGCTAAGGTCAGCGGAGTTGGTTGAGAAGCCATAATTGTCCTTCTGGACAACATCTTCAGCGCCTAATTCATTACAGATGATAAGTACCTAAATAGTGCGCCGATATCTCTCTATAATCATATTTCATAAATTTAGAAAATTTATCTGAACGGAAAGAGATGTGGAAAAACTCACCGGAACCTAGCACACAATTCATTTTCCTTACAACTTGTATCAGTAGATTAGAAATAAAACACCACTGACTAACTACAAAAGTAATTTCTAAGTTTCACTGTGAATGAAATGCCTTTTCAGACTGAAGATATACATCAGTGTAGTTGAGTGTGTAGTTTATTTGGGGGCCTTTTTGTCATCTAGACAACACCCACCTATTGAAGTTTGCACTGAAGACGTTGTTTAGAACAAAAATGGAAGCTTTGTAGATGAGCTACTCAGTTCAGAGAACATAAGCCCAACAATATCATCCACCTGGGCTACACATTTTCTACATCATTATGTATACATATATTATGGCGAAAATGTCACACGCCAAACGTAAATCCTCACTGAGTACTGTTTTTTTCTTTAAAATTTTTCCAGCCATGGTTACCAGTTTAAAAATATAAATTAGAATGAACTACTTATTTTTGCAATTTTTTTATTACTTTGCGTTCCCAGAGGAACATAGGGTTTGGAGCTAGAGCTTTGAAGATCCAGTGGCAGTGGCTGTTTTTTTACGGGATGAGGTTGCTAGTCTCACACCCAACCTACCTTCTTTATCGGGCTTACTACCGGCTTAGCGAGATTTAGGAGTGCCTCAGCCGGGAATCGAACCACGGATCACTTGTTTGGTCGTCAAGTGTTCTACCACTGAACCACCGACGCAATAAGCAAATATATACGGTTAATTGAATAATCTGCGGTCTTAATTCATAATCTGACATTCAGCTATAATTTATTCTAATGCATTTTAAAACTAAATGAGTTCTTAGACAAATTTATGACTAATTCAACTTTAACAAAATGTAAATTATAAACCGCCTAGCAAAACAATTTAATTTTGATATTTTAAGAGGTTAGTACAAAAGTTTGAATACTTGCATTTATCGTATACTTAAAAATATCAGCCAGCTTATATGTTTTACTAAAAATGGTCAGTAACATTATCAGAGTGGTATATGTCATCTGAAATCTCCAAGTGTTTCATTACAATCTAAATTAGCGTATTAGGCTAGTTGCATAAAAAACCTATGCAACATTAGCAAAAGATGAATTAATAGCTGTTTGTATGGCACCCGATTTTGGTAAAAATACTTGAAAAAGTGGACATTTTCAGCATAAATTCATCACCAGTACAAAAAGCAACAATCCACACCATCTGAACAACTAGTAGCAAAAGCTTGCTCAGCATTCACAAGGCTTATCTAGGTTATGTAATATAAATACATGAACAAAAGTACCATGACAATGAGAAACTATTTCACTGCCATTTTACGAGACTATACAGCTTGTTTTGTCATTCATTAAAACTTTTCACAACTATTGTTGATGAAAATTTAAGAATTTTTATATAACTAATATAGCGAGTTATGTTGGCCGTTGCTCTAGGAACTTGATTTTTCGTGCTCGAGAACATATCCCACTATGGCTAAGTAAAGGTGTAGTTAAAACTATTAACAGCTCGATATTAGACCATCTGGTGCAAACCGGTCACAAAGCCAGCGTAGACGAATCCTTCTCCATAATATACCGGGTGCCTAACAAACTACCAAAATCGTCGAAGCACCGCTTGCTCCAAACAGCAGAGGCTATTGCAATTCGCCTCAAACAACCAGTGCTCTGTGTTCAAAAGAAACAAGTCCAGCCCCTACTACTGCCCTGGCCCTCAGTAGAGACTATAAACTCATGAATTTGTACTATTACCTTTCCTAATTCTTCTGACATTCAGTTTATTTTATATTGATGCTGTTCAGCTGTAATTTATCAATATTATTGATTTGGTGTTATTTAAACATTAATGTCGTTCATAAGACTAATTCACTCATTCATTATAATGTATATATATTTGTAGAACCTGATGATGAATTTATCGAAAAGAGTACTCTTTGTTCCGTCTCCATTCTTTTGATAATTTAGAAACCATTTTATGAGGGAAACTTTCAGTTCCCTCTTCGAAAAAGCGCTGTCACTTATTGATTCTTAGTCTAAATAAAGCCACTGAATAAATATCATCATAATAAATATCATAAATTCACTTCTTGTAGACAGTAAGCTTGGTAGGTGTACAAGTTACTTCGTATCATTTACTCACCGGAAGGCAATTGTTCATTTCCTGAAATATAACTTAAAAATAAATTGTGAGGAAGAAATAGCTTCTTTAGATCATGTCGACAGAAAGTGGATATTCATTCCTGTCGTATTTTCTATGAATCTATTTAACCTGAAATTGAATACAGAGAAATAATAAAAATAGGATTGAAATTTTCTAAAACCATAACTTTGTTTTTCTAACCTTTATGTCAACAGTATAGTAAATTTTCTGGCACATAAAAGTGTCGATAGCAAGCCAATTTAGTAAACATAACTCTTCTATCCTTATAGTTTCAGGTAGCAATAAGGATCATAGTTTATGTTTGTGTATGAATTAATGTAAAAATAGAAAAACAAAGTTAGACAGTAAATTTTGAAAGAAAATAGTAATAGAATGTTATGCAAAACATTCCATTTTGTTGACTATTATTGAAGATAAGTGTGGTGAGATTTCATTCACCATACAGTGAATACGAGAAAAATAATTGAAATTAGTTAGTAATTTATAGTGTACACAGTTCGAGAGGTTATATTATACCATAAATGACAATTGAGAAAACAGTCATATTTGCCTTGAAACTAAATACTACTGATTGTTTCAGATGAGTAGTCATATATCACTCATATCAATCGGTGGTGCTTGCTACCCACATTGAGGTAATCTAAATACCTCATAACAGTTCCTCTCATTTGGAACCGATATCATCATCGGTGTACATGGTTTGACTTAGCTCAGACAGCCAGATCAATTCAAAGTCTGACCAGCAAGCATTACTGGTAGACATGAATGGTGTTCAACTACTCATCTCAGTCAAGCAGTAGTATATAGTCTTACAGGAATGTCCCCCATTTTCTTACATTTCATAAGGTTCACAAACTAACGTTGCATTTCAAACTCCTTATATAATATTAAGGGGTGTATATAATTAGGGAAGACATTTGATGGTTTGTGTTTAAAGAAAAGACATATTACTTTTTTACCCTTCCAACATTAGCGTTTCTGAAAATAAGTGTGAATTTATAGATGACACTGAGATGCCAAAAGGGAGGATGTGTAAAGGTCGCTAAATAAAAAGTAGTATTGTAGGTAAGGCTCACTTTAGATGTTGCATATCTTTAACGAGACTGACAACCTTCGATCTATCTTGAATTGAATGGAGGTGTTTTCTGTGCTTTCATCTGCACATCGTCTTCTGTATTCGTTAGTGAATTAGAGTGGATTTTTGATCAGATAAGAGACGATTTAGCACATCACTTTCAGACTGGAATGTTTTCGACTATGTTTCACAGTGATCAACATGACTCACCTTGTTTTGCGTATATTCTGACTTAACTCCTATAGTTTTATTCTCGTATGCCTAAAGTTGAAAAATTTTGGTTTAATTCGCTAGAAAAAAACTCTCATTTTCAATTAAAAGTGTCTAGCCACAAGTGAATCTCATACCATGATTCCTTTTGGTGCTACTAAAAATACTTTTTTCCCACAGTATCAGTAAAATGCTTACTTTGTAGTGTGTATCGCTTATAAATGTTCTGTAAACAGTTTGATCCAATTTTATTAGAGCTTTTTTATAGTAATAAAGAGATCAGTCTTACACTGATTCTCCCATTTCATTAGTTTAGGTTGATTAGAGAGATAACAGTGTTCAAACATCATCGATAATAAACCATTTTCAATATCCCGCCCGAATACGCAGCTTTTATAACATATACAAAGAATATTTTCTAAACTTACACTTTCATAGCTCTTAAGAAAATTTCATTTACACTTAAATGTTTCATATAATGTAAAATAGTGGTCTTTCTTATCTTCATTTAAATTAGAAATTTAGTGTGACAAAGATCTTACTTAATCCATAACAATTATTTTCAAAAGACAAATTATAAAATGAAGATAACGAAATCCCACTATGAGCTATTTTAAAACCCAAAACATTCACAGTGCCAAAAATGATCAGCTTATCTGATAGCCATTAGTATCATCAGAATTTCAGATGTCTAAACTTTGCATTATTTACAAACGATTGATATAAGAAGTTAGAAAACACTGAGTTCAGCGCACGGTAAATATTCAAGGATTGATTTGTAGGGATTTGATTGATTGGTTACAGAATTTTATCATGAGCTGATATCGTTTAGATTACCATTGGAAAACCTGCAGGGAGTACTGGACAGTTGTTTCGTTCTATTTTGAAACTCTTCATCAGTACGCACCCACCGGGGTTCAAATCCAGGGTCTTCTGGTTACAAGGCTAGCTCGTAGACCATTTAGC